TCCCCTCCCTAATTCAAAGCAGGGCGTCATGAGCGACATCACCCTCCTGAGGATCCCGGACACCCAGAGAGAACGCATGCTGCGGGAAAGCATGCAGAAACCGGGGCCGTATGCCGCCATGCTATGTCGTGCGATGATCCCGGAGTACTTGATTGTGGCGTGGAGGGGACATGTCTGCTACCACGGAGGGCCCACTAAGATCGCCCTACCCCGGAACCTGATCAACAGGCTTGAGCTCTACCTCCACGAGACCTACGAGGAGTTCTCCTACGAGGATTTCTCGTCGATCCCCGGCCACATTGACCGGATTTTCGCGTAGGTGCACTGGGACTTTGGAGTGGAGCGTCTTGGGCCTGGGAATCATGTAGTAACGGACATTGTGAAAATTTTTTAAAACACTTGGGACTAAATTGAGAAGAGCCTAAGACAGAGAAATCATGAAAACCCATTTGTTACCTTTGTAAATATTCCTGTTTTGTACCTGATTATTTTTTTACTAGTTTACAGAACTTTTATAAATGTACATTGTTAATAGTATAAATATTACCGTTCTGTTTTAAATAAATGTTTACATGTTTACAGCACTTACTGCTTGATCCTTCCCCTGATTCTGTGTCCGGGGTAAGGGATGGGGACGGTTGGTACGGGATCTCGGTAAGGGTGATGAAGAGCTCCTGGCTGTCGGGGAAATCAGCGGTGCCAGCGCTGTCGACTGCCTCGTCCTCCTCATCTCCTTCTTCATCTTCCCCGTCCGCTGTCATGTCCGACGAGGAACCGGCCGCGGACATGATCCCATCCTCGGAGTCCACGGTCAGGGGTGGGGTAGTGGTGGCGGCCGCTCCCAGGATGGAATGCAGTGCCTCGTAGAAACGGGATGTGTGGGGTTGGGATCCGGAGCGTCCGTTAGCCTCTTTGGTTTTTTGGTAGCCTTGTCTCAGCTCCTTGATTTTCACGCGGCACTGCGTTGCATCCCGGCTGTAGCCTCTCTCTGCCATGGCTTTGGAGATCTTCTCGTAGATCTTAGCATTCCTTCTTTTGGAGCGCAGCTCTGAAAGCACGGACTCATCGCCCCACACTGCGATGAGATCCAAGACTTCCCGATCAGTCCATGCTGGGGCCCTCTTTCTATTGGATTGCACGGCCATCTCTGCTGGAGAGCTCTGCATAGTTGCCACTGCTGCTGAGCTCCCCTCGATGTCCAAAGAGGAACTGAGATTCAAACTGCCCAGACAGGAAAATGAAAATGAATTCAAATTTTCCCGGGGGTGTGGCTGGTCAGAGCATCCGAGCTCTGACTGCTGTCCAGAGCGTCAACAGAGTGGTGCACTGTGGGATAGCTCCCGGAGCTATTACCGTCGATTTCCATCCACACCTAGCCTAATTCGATATGGCCATGTCGAATTTAGCGCTACTCCTCTCGTTGGGGAGGATTACAGAAATCGATTTAAAGAGAGCTTTATGTCGAACTAAATGGCTTCCTGGTGTGGACGGGTGCAGGGTTAATTCGATATAACGGCGCTAAAGTCGACATAAAAGCCTAGTGTAGACCAGGCCAAAGATATGCAACTTCAGCTACGCGAATAGCGTAGCTGAAGTCGAAGTATCTTAGATCGAATTACCTGGGGTCCACATGGCGCGGGATCGATGGCCGTGGCTCCCCCGTCGACTGCGCTACCGCCGCTCGCTCTGGTGGAGTTCCGGAGTCGACGGTGAGTGCGTTTGGGGATTGATATATCGCGTCTTAACGAGACGCGATATATTGATCCCGGATAAATCTATTGCTACCCGCCGATACGGGCCATGTGCTGGGCAGCTTGTGTTTGGAACAAAGGGAAGCACAAGCCGCATGGCAAAAGACTATAAAAGGCAGCTGCATCTTCTCCATTTTGTCTTCAGTCCTGCTTCTTACCTCTGGAGTAACCAACCTTTGGATGTGTTCCAGAGGGACTTTCAAGCCAGCAAATTCACCAAGACTGCTAGGAACCGGATATATGGACTCTGAAGTCTTTGTATGTATGTGACTGTTTTACCATTTAACACTCTTTTTGTTCTTTTTTCTTTACAATAAACCTTTAATTTTAGACACTAAAGGATTGGCTGGCAGCATGGTATTTTGGGTAAGCTCCAAACCTATCCTGACCCGGTGACATGGCTGACCCTTTGGGGTCAGAAGAACACTTTGTATATGTGAGCAGAGTTTTTTTAAATAAACTTCTCACTGTACTGGACCTAGGTGCTGATTGGGAGCCAGAGAACTGGAATGCAATAAGAGGGCTGTGTGATTTCTTTTTTGCTTCTTAATAACCAGTGGGGGGGGGGGGGGGAGGGGGGAATTAGAAGCACAGTTTGTGACTGGTTGGGGAGTTTAACTTCAGTGTTACCCACCAGTCTTGGGAGTATCTGCTCTACCTTGTGCAGCCTGCCCTTTCCTTGGCATTTCCAGTGACGGCTGCCCCAGGCACCCCAGGTCACATCTCCTGTCCCCGCTGCAGCCCTGAGGCTGGGGCAGAGAGGTGTCTCTCTTCTTCCCCCTCCAACCCCCACCAGTCCTGCATGCCCCAAGCTCCCCCAACCCCCCCCCATCACCTCACCCCACTGCCCCCGCCCTCCACATTCTCCCCGCTCACCTGTGTGCGTGCCTGCAAGGCTGCTGGGCAGCCCTAGATGGGCCCTTAGAGGGAACACAGCTCACGGCAGCAGCGACACTGGGTCCAGCTCCGGTTTGTCCTTCTCGGGCGATTCCTCCCTGGCACAGTGCTCCCCCTGGCTCCTGTCCTGGGTGTTCCTGATCGGCCACTCTGTGCCTTCCAGGCTTCGGGCGGGTTCTCAGCTGCTTCACTCTGTGAGGCCTAATTGCTGTAGCCCTTGGAGCTCCAGACACACACACCCTGTCGCTCTCCCTCTTTCATTGCTCCCTCCTGCCAAAACAGAACTTCCTCCTCCTCAGGACAAAGATTTAAAGGGGCCATGCTCTCTAAACCCCAAAGGTGATACAACCGCAATTAAACAGCCCTTTCGCGGAGCCCCATGAACTCGAGTCAGCTGACATGGGCCAGCCGTGGGTTTTTAATTGCAGTGCAGACTTACCCTAAGCAGCCCACAAGTGTCAGTAAATCATCTGCCTTACAGTATGAGCCAGCCTTGTTATATCTAGATGAAAACTTCATTAGACAAGTTATAGGAATGAGGCCATATTCAGCAGGTGCTACACTGGATCGGATCTGAATTTACTAAGGGGTTTGCCAACAGTCTGCTAGGTGGTTTACAGACAAATATAACGATAATATGTCTGACCTGAGGAGCTTACAGTCTAAACAGGCAACATCCAAACAAAGGAAATGGAAGAGAACCAACACACACAACAGTGACTGAATAGTGAAGCTAGACATCTATCTTGTAAGTTCCATGACTTTTGTATGAAGTTATTTTGCACAATTTTTTTCAGTAAGTTAAAGGTGTGTGTGTGTGGGGGGGGAGATGGAGGAGCAAACCCATGAAATTTACGGGTGTAGATCAATAAGCATAGAATTCTTGTAAGTGACTCTCGGGTGATTGCTAGAATAGGTTAAACATCAGTACACAAGTACATTAAAAGTAATGGCAATTCAAACTTTTCTTAGGAGATAAAGAATTACCAATTCACTGCATCAGAGTAATCTGTTTCACGGCTAGGGATTCTGTGATAGAAGAAATAGAATTTGGTTTTATATCGTGTTTCCTCCTAAAACCTAGAGCAGAAAGCACCCTATAAAAAATGAGACTTGCCATTCACAGTGACAATACAGTACCATTTTGATAATCCTGGCAGAGCTACCATACCATCATACTTACAGACCAGAAAATGGATTATTTTATCTGCACCTGTCATCGAAACAGGCATTTGCTTTCAGACCAATTGCAGAATACAACCTCTGAAGGACAAGTGGTTAAAATTGTATATATGACTTTATTAGTTTATAGCAGCTGTTTAGATGCTTATTGGTTTTATGACTGCAACCATATATAAAAATAATTTATATGACTTTATTAGCAAAATGTAAGATCAGATCAGGTTTACTGGGATACAACCTTCTATCTGGATTTCAGCTGGCCAGCCATTATATCTGTTCTTGCTATTGTCAGAATGGTTGATCTGGTTTAAAATAAAAATAAAAATAAAAAAAAATAATCAACCTTCAGTTTATCGTTTATAGACAGTCATCACTAGTCTGGAAAACTTCCTGCCTCCCTGCGTAGCAAGAGGGAAAAGATATGGGGGCAGGAGCTTGGAAATCATCAGATACACTTCACATTTTGCTGCTCTTAAACTGGCACCTCCTCACCTCATTCTCTATTATATAATCGTTCCTCAGAATGTTATAACCCAAGCCCTTTATTGCCCAGAAGACCTCATAGTATAGGACAATGATGTTGAAGTATTTCCTGTAGGTAATTTGTTTCAGTAAGTAACATCCAACAACACTCTGGGAAAGATGTGAAACTAGGGATAATTCCAATAATCTTTGGCAAATAGAATAGCTAGAGAAATCTGTGGAAACTGAGCTGGGCCAAGCATATCGATTTCTTTCCCCTCCTTGCATCACAGAAAGAGGACTGTACGAAACATTTAAATGAAAATACCACTGCTATAAGGAGAAGTTCTGATACAGAAATTATTCCTGTTAAATTTTCCTCAAGTCTGAGGAGGCCAAGATTTTCAAAAGTGACTTGCGATTTTGGGCATCTGCCTGGGTGTCCATCTTGAGACTCTTAAAGGGTCCTGATTTTCAGAAAATGCTGAGCATCTGCCCTCCGAAATTCAGACCTCCTTAAAGGTCTCTCAAAAGTTGGGCTTTCAAAAATTGACACACCCTAAATGATTAGTCACTTTTGGAAACTTGTTTCCAGAAAGAAGTCACAAACACAAGGTTGTGAAGGGTTTGTGAAAATTATAGTTTTAAAAAACAAAACAGAAAACAAAATAAACCCTACCTTTTCTTTTTGAATGTCATCTGGTAGAGTGAAACCTTTGGCAGCTATAAAGGCCCAGCTTGACCTGAACTTCATGTTCCATATTTCTTTACTGCCAAGTTCTGCTATTGCTTTTTTTGCACCATCGTTTAATCTAGTAGAAGAGTTGAAAAATTTAACATTGGAGACTTTGAAATTCAGAACTTTAAAAATAAGTTACGTAAAAAAGGATATAGTCTGTTGATATTTTATGGTGTAATTTCTGATTTCTTATTAATGAATAATTTTTAAAGCCTCCCTGTATCTTCTACTGGAGAACTGTCCAGTAATGTGCCATAAAATTCATGGAACCAAATTCTACCCCCACTTATACCTGTGCAACTCCACCGATGTTAATAAGAGACAATGAATTTGCACAAGGGAGCAGAGAGAAGAATTCTATGTTATGAGGGATTCTCTCTCTTTTGTACCTTTTATTGTTGGAACAAATTTCATGTAATCTCAGTGTCTGAGAGGTACAGGCCGTGTTATATATGGGCAAGTGTTGAATGGAACAGCATTAAATGACTGAGAGAAGGAGGTAAGTGATTAAACTTGGTCATAGCTCAAGCTGTAACAACTTTTGCTTCTCAGAAGGTTGCCACCCTGAGTTCATAGAATCATAGAATATCAGGGTTGGAAAGGACCTCACGAGGTCATCTAGTCCAACCCCCTGCTCAAAGCAGGACCAACACCAACTAAATCATCCCTGCCAGGACTTAATCAAGCCTGACCTTAAAAACCACTAAGGAAGGAGATTCCACCACCTCCCTAGGTAACCCATTCCAGTGCTTCACCACCCTCCTAGTGAAAAAGTTTTTCCTAATATCCAACCTAAACCTCCCCCACTGCAACTTGAGACCATTACTCCTTGTTCTGTCATCTGCCACCACTAAGAACAGTCTAGCTCCATCCTCTTTGGAACCCCCTTTCAGGTAGTTGAAAGCAGCTATCAAATTCCCCCCTCATTCTTCTCTTCTGCAGACTAAACAATCCCAGTTCCCTCAGCCGCTCCTCATAAGTCATGTGCTCCAGCCCCCTAATCATTTTTGTTGCCCTCCGCCTGACTCTTTCCAATTTTTCCACATCCTTCTTGTAGTGTGGGGCCCAAAACTGGACACAGTACTCCAGATGAGGCCTCACCAATGCCGAATAGAGGGGAACAATCACGTCCCTCGATCTGCTGGCAATGCTCCTACTTATACAGCCCAAAATGACATTAGCCTTCTTGGCAACAAGGGCACACTGTTGACTCATATCCAGCTTCTCATCCACTGTAACCCCTAGGTCCTTTTCTGCAGAACTGCTTCCTAGACATTCAGTCCCTAATCTGTAACAGTGAATGGGATTCTTCCGTCCTAAGTGCAGAACTCTGCACTTGTCCTTGTTGAACCTCATCAGATTTCTTTTGGCCCAATCCTTTAATTTGTCTAGGTCCCTCTGTATCCTATTCCTACCCCCCAGCGTATCTACCACTCTTCCCAGTTTAGTGTCATCTGCAAACCTGCTAAGGGTGCAATCCACGCCATCCTCCAGATCATTAATGTAGATATTGAACAAAACCGGCCCCAGGACCGACTCTTGGGGCACTCCGCTTGATACCGGCTGCCAACTAGACATGGAGCCATTGATCACTACCCGTTGAGCCCGACGATCTAGCCAGCTTTCTATCCACCTTACAGTTCCATTCATCCAGCCCATACGTCTTTAACTTGCTGGCAAGAATACTGTGAGAGACCATATCAAAAGCTTTGCTAAAGTCAAGGAATAACACGTCCACTGCTTTCCCCTCATCCACAGAGCCAGTTATCTCATCATAGAAGGCAATTAGGTTAGTCAGGCATGACTTGCTCTTGGTGAATCCATGCTGACTGTTCCTGATCACTTTCCTCTCCTCTAAGAGTTGTAAGCCATTTATTATTCTAGCACTGGGCTGGTACACAAATGCTTGCTTACCTGCTGCTTCCATCATCATGGGTCACCATCAAGAGAAGTGACCCTTGAGGTGCATTTTTAATGAAAGTAGTCATGGGTCCCGAGAAGTCTGTTGATACAACAAATGATTATTCATTACCCCCCAGGCCGATGCACAAAACACCATATACTCAGCTTATTGCTACTTTGCAGCTTTGCTTCTCCAAAAAACAGAAGTTACTTATTTTTCTCTAGCCAGATAATTCCCCCATTCCCATGCAGAGGGCCCAATCCTGAAAGGTACTGACTGCGTTCACCTCCCACAGAAGACTGTGAGGGTACAGAATGATCAGCACCTCTCAGGAGCTCTGGAATAAGTAGGAAGAGACAGATTAGACTCAGACTAAGGTCAGAAGGGACCATCGTGATCACCTAGTCTGATCGCCTACAGCACAGCAATCTAGAAATAAAATAAAGGCCTGACGCAATTTAGTTTTTTTCTTTAGTATTAAACTGTGAAGTACTCCAGATGAGCAGAGATAAATCTGTTTTGCCATCTGTTTTATATTAATTACTGATCATTCTTGGAGATCTTTAGCAACTGTCAAATATTTAATTGAAAAAAATACTTTTAGTCCAAATTTCTTCTGTATGGAAAAGTGTCTACAAGAGACCCTCTGCCACTTTTATTTGGTGATACTTTGGCTCTTACCTCCTTCCCACATGTCAAAAAACTCTGTAGATATAACTTTTCCTGTTTTATCTGCAATAAAGAAATAATACACTTTAAATACGGGGAAGGAAAGGGATATGTAAGGGGAAAGTAAACAATGGTTATAACTAAAAATAAAAACAATGAGGAATCCGGTGGCACCTTAAAGACTAACAGATTTATTTTAAATCTGTTAGTCTTTAAGGTGCCACCGGACTCCTCATTGTTTTTGTGGATACAGACTAACACAGCTACCCCTCTGATAACCAAAAATAAGTGCATCTAGTATTTTATATTACGGTTTCAAGTTTTCATTAGTGCCAGATTTCCTTCCAAGTTCTGACAATTAATCTGGTGTGTGTGTGTGTGTGTGTGTGTGTGTGTGTGTGAGATTCTTTTAAACATAAAGTAAAAAAGTGAGTGAATTGTATTATGAACTTTGGTACTTGCATATACACTTTATACTAGTTCCTAACAATGGCTAAGGTTTTCAAGTGGCTGTTGATTTTGGAGGCCCGAATTGAGACAATTTCAATAGCCCTAATTTTCAATGCACAGGTGCTCAGCACTTTCTGAAAAATCTGGCCTCTTTCTAGTGGCTCAAGTTAGGCTCCCAGACACACTAGTCATTTTAGAAAATCTTGGTCAATAATCACAATTAATTTCATTGTTGTTCAAATGGGCCTATTTTTGAGTTCATGAAACAGATGTAAAACTGGAGGTAAGTCTCAAGATTTCAAAATTCTTTGACAAATTCATGGAACATCTTTTTTTGCTAGTAGGAAAACTGCAAAACCAGTAACCAATTTTCATGTTACGCTTTCAAATGCCAAACTGAGTCAGGCATTTATCAGTTACATAAGACACACACGTCCAGGCAGAGGAGGATGCTTTCCTCTGGAACACTGTATGCTGCCACTCAGTGGGAAGATTTGGCAATTGCTGCCCTCTTTCCGGCTCATCTCGGCTCTCATCCTTGGCAGGATCATAGGGGAGGGGGAAGTATCTTAAAAGCACAGGACTCTGTAAAAGTTTATTTTCCACAATTCAGGAGGCAGAGTCCAGAAGTGGAGAAATAACATTCCAGACCTGGGCCTCTCCTGAGCAGAGACCAGAGATCACACCAAACTGAGGATGCTGGATTTTACTGTGCTTGTATGTGGAATATTGCTTTTTTCTCTCTGTGTTGTTAATCTTGGTTTATAATTTTCTCTTCCTTAACAACAAAAACTGTTCATTCAGAACAGAAAGGGAATAGCAATGTGAATTAACATATTAAAGTGATGCTACAAAAAAGAAAGTGTTGGAGAGGTTTAATTAATTAGAAAATATGCAGTGGATGTTTTACTGTATTGAAATGTTAGATATGTCCACTTTTCTATTTGAACCAGTGGATAAAAGAAGCAAGATAATTAAGGAGTACATGTGAATATTTGTTTAGCCAGAAACTACCTCTCAGTGGAAGGATGGATGATATTCTATTCTGCAATATTTTCACAGATTTTAAGGCCCGAAAGGACCACTGTGATTATCTGGTCTGACCTCCTGCATAACACAGGCCACAGAACCCCACTAAATAATTTCAACATCAAATCCATAATGTCTGTTTAAGTTGTAGCAGATCCTTCAGAAAGAGATTTAGTTTTGATGTAAAGACTTCAAGAGAATTCACTATATTAGTAAGTAAGTTGCTCCAATGGTTAATTACCTTCACAGTTTAAAATTTGCACTGTATTTCTAGTCTGAATTTGTCTAGTTTCCAATCACTGGATCGTGTTATGCCTTCTTCTGCTAGATTAAACAGCTGTCTCTTCCCCATGAGGTACTTGAAGACCACAATGAAGTCACCTCTTTTCTTGGATAAACTAATTAGGTTCAGCTTCTGTAGTCTCTCATTATTAAAGATTTGCTGCTCTCAAATCATTCATGTTGCTCTTTTCTGAACCCTTTCCAATTCTTCAACATTTTCTTTAAGTGTAGACCCCAGAGCTAGACACAATATTCCAGTAATGGTCTCACTAATGCCACGTACAGAGGTAATAGCACCTCCCTACTCCTACTTGATATTCCTCTACTTATACCTTCAAGGATCATGATCACCCTCTTAACTACAGTCTCACACGAAGAACTCATGTTCAGTTGGTTGTCTACTGTGGTCACTAAATCCTTTTGATTTTTTTTTTTTAAATAGAAAGTAAAAATGCAAGATAAGTTTGGTGACAAGGAAATGAAAATTTTGGACCAGCTCTTCAGCTGGTATAAACAGGATATCTCCTTCCTCATTGGAGCCACACCAAAGTACACAACTTGGTTCTTTGCTTACTCACTTGGAAGGTAAATGGATGCATAAACAGAACAAAATTTTTTTTTTTTTATATTGCAACATTTTTGGGTTAAATTAAACACCACACTACATCTGAGCTTGTTTTCCAGACTCAGGACTCTTATTCCTCACAGGAGGGGCCACTATTAAATATATTGCACCTCATCCTAGTTATTAGAGAACTAAGAAATTTCTTTTATGTGACATGCAAAGTAATTCTACTCTCTCCAATTTAAAATCCAGGGCCACTTGGACAACTTTTCATGGTTGTCCATTCTCATCCACTGAAAATTTAACAAGCCTTTTTGTTTGTTTGTTTTTGTTTCCCCACTATTCTAAGATTTTTTTCTTCAAGTGCTTCTTTTTATTGTTGTTAAAGCTGAGATTAATTTGAATCGGATAAAACTAGAAAGTTACCAGCTGCTGCTGTTTAAGGAAACAGAACTCCTCTAAGGCAGTGAAAGATGTGAATGCGGCAGTCTCTGTAGTACTGCCACAGAGAAGGCTGTGGTTTTCAGTCATTCATACATTGCAAGGCCACACTAAAAGTGACTAGGAGTGACAGACAATTATTGTGCTTCGTTACTCTACTTTCATAAGTGTCCAATAGAGAGGAAATGGTAGTTTAAAAAATATAGAAGGAAGACTGTTAGATTGCATCTCAGACATGCAAAATCATTTTTCTTAGTGTACTACCATTGTCCCCATAACATTCTTTTCTTACTTACAATTCACGATGGCAATGTTTATACCTCTTCCAACATTACCCTTCTGTTCACTTATGAGCCTGAAATTGAAATAAATACACCATCAGTCAGGAATTGTACTTCCAGAAGGGCTGTGATATTTACCTATGCAAAGTCATTCCTGGTATTCTTGTTTTTAGGTTAGTCGTTTAACTGAGGAGTCTGCTGAAAGCAATGGAGCCATGTCTTAAAAATCTATGGCACATTGGACAGTTTCCTCCAGAGAGCCCATAATGAGTCTAGTTCAACACTGTAGCCTGTACAAGTGCAGCACAAGCAGAGTAAAAATAATGCCAGAGAAAATCATTAGTTTTGCGGCATCATTCCATGCAGATTTATAGAATAGGCCAGTGTATCTTCACAACAGCTCTACACCAAGATTTTCAAATGTGACTATTGATTTTAAGGGCCTCAGTTTTTGAGTCCCTAACTTGAGATACTGTAAAGAGGCCTGATTTTCAGAATGCACTGAGCATCCAACCTCTAAAAATTAGGCCCTTTTACAGTGTTTCAAGCTGTGCATCTGAAACCTGAGGCACCCACAATCATTAGTCACTTTTGAAAATCTTGGCCCAAAGCAGTTTATATGAACAAAAGAGAAAAGCCAAGATGCAAGGTTAAAAAAAAAGTTAGAAATAGAACAGAAAGACTACTTTAGTGACACAAGCACAGAGAAAACAAAATGACAAAGTAGACTAACAGGAAAAAATCTAAAGTGTCAAAGAAACAGAAGTATACTTTCAGAATACATACAGCGAGGGAGATTGGAAAGATGCAATGGAACAGAGAAAGTTAGGTGAGGTTTAGTGTTTGTAATGGGCTAAAAAAAAGGGTGGGGTTATTCTCTACACAGATGGAACAGAATTATTCAGGGTTTAAAGTTATAAGAGATCCAAGAGTTGACACAATGAAGCCAATCATGTAGTCAGAAGAGAGAGAAATTAAAATGTCAGGGGTGTGTCAGCTGCACAGAAAGAAGGACACCGAGTCAAATTTTTGCCTCAGTAAAGTCAGTGAAAATGTTGGCACTGACTTCAATGAAAACAGCATTTTGACACAATGATGAGAAAGCAATGAGCTATCCAAAGGGAGAAAACACATGGATCAGAGGTAACAAAATTGATGAGGATTTAAAAAAAAGTTTAGAATCATTAAATTAAAAATCACAACATCTAGATGAATCCCACCTCTGGATTTCCAAGTGTGCCTCATTTGCTGTGTGACTGTCCTAGAATCACAGCTATACTTTACAGAGGAGGTGGTTTCTTGCTTGAGAGACTTCAGGAGCATAGCATGGTAAATAGTATTGAAAGGGGAAAACCCCAAGACTGGTGGTTTTGTGTTACAAAGTTTGCGTTAATCCAAGGAATGTCTCTTAATAATAAACATTTACTCTGTTGCTAAACCAAAATGTCCCTATTGCTCCAGGCAGTCCTTGCTTCGACTTAAAGTAGACTGGTACTTACAGCTCATCTTCAAAACAAATCTTGGCAAACTTTTCCTTGCCACCACCACTGAGTAATCGATAAGCATAGCTCCCAGGTGAGCACGGAGACCAATGGTCACATTTCTGTCTTTTGGGGGGTGGCGCTGTAGTGAATAAGAAAGCAGAACCTGCTTTGTTTGAGCACTATGTAAACACCATTCATATACCAAAATGACCAATTAATTAAACACCGCAGATTTATATGAGCTTGAAATTGGCACCTGCTTGCCAAATGAGGGTAGAGCGGAAAGAGGAATTTGATTGGGGAGAATGGGTCCCAGCAGTCCTCTGAGATGATCTTTCGACCAGTGTTCTAGAGTACTGCAAACGTAGACAACTGCTCAGACAAACAAGTTTGGTTACAATTTGCAGGAGATAATGTTGCTCGTTTCTTGCTTACAATGTCACCTGAAAGTGAGAACAGGCATTCGCATGGCACTTTTGTAGCCAGCGTCGCAAGGTATTTATGTGCCAGATGCGCTGAAGATTCATATGTCCCTTCGTGCTCCAACCACCATTCCAGGGGATATGCGTCCATGCTCATGATGGGTTCTGCTTAATAACGATCCAAAGCAGTGCGGACCAACACATGTTCATTTTCATCATCTGAGTCAGATGCCACCAGTAAAAGGTTGATTTTCTTTTTTGGTGGTTCACATTCTGCAGTTTCTGCATCAAAGTGTTGCTCTTTTAAGACTCCTGAAAGCATGCTCAACACCTTGTTCCTCTCAGATTTTGGAAGGCACTTTGGATTCTTAAACCTTGAGTCAAGTGCCGTACCTGCTTTGCATTTTGTCAAATCTGCAGTGAAAGTGTTCTTAAAATGAACATCATGTGCTGGGTCATCATCCGAGACTGCTCTAACATGAAATATATGGCAGAATGCAGGTAAAACAGAGCAGGAGACATAATTCTCCCCCCAAGAAGTTCAGTCACAAATGTAATCAACACATTATTTTTAATGAGCATCTTCAGCATGGAAGCTTGTCCTCTGGAATGGTGGCCAAAGCATGAAGGGGAATACGAACGTTTAGCATATCTGACGCGTAAATACCTTGTAATGCTGGCTACAAAAGTGCCATGTGAACTCCTGTTCTCACTTTCAAGTGACATTGTAAATAAGAAGCGGGCAGCATTATCTCCTATAAATGTAAACAAACTTTTTTATCTTAGTGATTGGCTGAACAAGAAGGAGGACTGAGTAGACTTGTAGGCTCTAAAGTTTTACATTGTTTTGTTTTTGAGTGCAGTTATGTAGCATTTGTAAGTTCCACTTTCACAATAAAGAGATTGCACTACAATACTTGTCTGAGGTGAATTGAAAATTATTTTTTATCATTTTTCCAGTGAAAATATTTGTAATAAAAATAATATAAAGTGAGCACTGTACACTTTGTATTCTGTGTTGTAACTGAAATAAATATATTTGAAAATGTAGAAAACATCCAAAAATATTTAATAAATTTCTATTGTTTAAGAGTGTGATTAAAACTGATTAATCACAACTGATTTTTTTAATCGCAGTTTTTTTTGAGTTAATCGTGTGAGTTAACTGTGATTAATCAACAGCCCTCTTAGGAGAGCAACACATAACCAATTATTCAGTAACTAACAACCCATTTGCAGGTTAAATTACAAACACTGTGCTTCACTTATAATATACTGCATATTAGTAGAAAAAAAGTCATGTGACCACATACCCTTAAGTACTGGTTTCTCTCCAATACTCTGAAGATTTTCGATAGCTGATGATAGCGAATCTTCAGGTACGATATCTGCAAACAGGTATCCCAAATACCAAGCACACACTGATGCTAACATAAGTCCTGATAACTTCACAAGGTCTGATAAGAAACAACAAATCCATTATTTAATGCGAAAAAAGGCAGCACGTGATAAGAAGTCTACACAGGGCTACTAAAAATATAGTATCTTCTATGGCGCTGCTACACAAATACAGTACTTTAAGAGCATGAAATTCAGTCCTGATGCACAGGCATTCCACACCACTGGAGATCTTTGGTGGGGCTGCAGACAGAGTGAGCGCGGCAGTCAACAATGACAACCCCTTCCACCTCTAAAAAAAAAAAAAAGACTTAAAACACAACTAACAGCAAAAAACCCCATTCTATCCCCAAGCAGACATTTGACCCTGGAAAAGGAGACATGCCAGAGATTCCATGAAATCATCTAGAGACTTAGCTATTGTTATCCATTTTAGATTGGCGGCACCCAGATGCTACAGTGATAGGTGGCAGTTTAAAACCCTACCCTACAGATAGCTCACAGCGGGCTCTTCGTATCTTCTTTGAAATACAGGAGGAGACTAAGCTAGGCCTGAATAGGCAGATATGTAAATAGAGTTGGGGTTCAGATTGAGGGTGGAGTTGTGAAATCTAGATTTGTACACATCTGGAGGCCCAGAAGCCTGCAGCGAGATGTGGAGTGACAGCAGCCACCAGTCCAGCCGCTCTCAATTATACTATAATTTCCACCACTATTGTAGAAGCTATAGTAGTGTCTATATAGACAAGGAGACAGGTGTGTATTTGCTATGTTTTTGGGAGTGAAGCTGATAAATACAGTCACATTGTACCAGACACTTGGTTACCCCTTCTCCAGAAATAAAAATGTATACCTGGAGAAAAGTGTCATACCCCCTTCCCCCATGTTAATAAAATATTACATTTCTACTGCATCTTTCACCCCAAAATGACCCAAGTGCTTCACATTGTGAGTATGTACACTGTGTTCATTAAGGAACTACTTTGACCATCACTGAAATGCAGCCTTTTGGGGGGGGCTGGAAGATGGGGAAGGGCCAGGGAAAACATGGGAGCTTTTTTACAATATTCAGCAGTTCAGACAAGAAAATCAGGACTGAACATCAAATTTGGAGATTCTCCTGTCTATTTTTAAGTTTCCTTTCCCAGGAATAAATATGGGATATATGGGTAGTTCCCAAATCAAATTCCTGAGCAAGAAGTTCACAAATTCCCTGTGCTTTAGCACAATCCCAGCAAGCTAGGTCCTGTCTATGCTGGAGTGGTAGGTGGGCTGAGTTTAAAATGATGTAAGTTAAAACAGCATTTAAATAAATCATGTTAAAACATTAGCACTAGGGCTGTACAGGAACCAACATTTCTGTTTCATGTCAAATTCTGAAATGCTGAATTTTTTTCATTCTGATTTGCTACGTGGTGTGACAAAGCTCCGACCTTGTCTCAGTGGGTCCCGCGCTTCCAGGCGGATTACGCTAGCCTCAGAGGCTCACTGTGTCCCTCCACATAGCCCTTCTCTCTCTAGGGGCAAGGGTCACAGCCTACTGAGCCATTTTCATCATAAGCCAGCAAGGGAGGTGAGGAGACGCTACCCTCCCTCGCATAGTCTCTGTTGTCTCACAGTATTAATCAAGGAAAGGGGAGGGAGGGAGCTCAGGCCCGCACTCTACTCTGGGCTCCAGCCCAGGGACCCTAACAGTAGCAGCTATTTGTAGCTGACTTTTTGAAACAGGATGGGTACAATTCCCTGGGCCACTTCCCCACAGCAGCCCCCACTTCTTCAACAGGGATAGCTCAGTGGTTTGAGCATTGGCCTGCCAAACCCAGGGTTGTGAGTTCAATCCTTGAAGGGGCCATTTAGGGATCTGGGGCAAAAATCTGTCTGGGGATTGGTCCTGCTTTGAGCAGGGGGTTGGACTAGATGACCTCCTGAGGTCCCTTCCAACCCTGATATTCTATGATACTTCACCCTTACCTCAGGGCCTCCTTCCTTGTGCCTGATGGGTTTTTCCTGCCCAGTTTCTCAGGCAGCGCGGCTTCCTCCTACAGCTCCTGACACATGCCTCTGACTGATTAACTGGGAGGCTTTTAACTAGTTCCAGACAGCCCTTAATTGGCTTCATTTGTCCCAATCAACCTAGCTGTCTCCACTGCTTTCTAGAAGGCTTTTAATTGGCCCCAGGTGTCTTGATTAACCTGGAGCAACTGCCACTTGGTTACCATGGTAACAGGGATTTGTTTAGCCTGTGGCTAACATACCTGTTTCACTCTACTTTCCTATAGTCATCTGGCCTTGCCCCATCACAGTGGAAATTTCTAAATTTCCCACAAAATGGAATTTGTAAAAAAAAAAAAACCCACCAATTTCAGGCCAGGTGAAACATTACACTTCAATAAAATCAAAATATTTTGTATCCATTTTGACTTTTTATATTATAGTTTAGAATGTAAAATAAAAATTGGAGAAAAAGTCATTTCAAAATGGAAAATTGAAATGTCCCAGTCCACAGAAGTCAAAACAGAACATTTTGACCATAACAGAATGCTTCATTTTGATTTTTTTTAAAAATGAAATTTCATCAACACTGACACATGGCTGAGAGTTTAGATTGCAACAAAATGACATTTCTGATGGAAAAAGATTTTGACCAGCTCTAATTAGTATCCAATTTATACAGGTTTTTAACAACTGAGTTAAGCTGCTCATGGTCTATGCTAGAGATGGAGGTAATTAGATATTGAAAAAGAGCTAGTAGAAAACAGGATGTAATTTTTGCAAAATATGTCAAAAATTACATTTCCAATAAAAAAAATTGTATTGAAAAATTGAGTCAAGTCTTAGTACATTTTGGCTAGCTCTATTTAGCATTCACTGATTGCTAAACCCTAGCATATGATTTATCTGATTCAACATGTCTGAAGTTGAAGGGAGTGGTAGAAAAACAAACAATTGAATGGATTTAAGTAATGACAATAGAGGAGTCTTCTAAAGTAAAATGTGAACAATGTCAAGAGCTGCTAAGCAGCAAGCTAGACAGGATTCATGGTCACCCTCAAAAAAGTGCAGAAACTCAGTTTCTTTCACCTTTTGCAGATCAAATGTGACACTGAATATAATTGTCAAAGTGAAAGAGCAGAACTTTGATGAGTTTGGTGATCATGTGAGAGATTTTCATTATCATAAAAAATATCCACACTGTTCTGTTAAGAACCTTGTTCCAGGCTTATTTAGCTTTTTAACATTAGCTTAATTCAAGAGAAGTCTTTTGTTCATTTTCAGCATCCAAAGAAAGGCAAAAGGTCAATCAGTGTTTATGCCATTTAAAACAAATCTGAAAAGCAAAATTTTCCACTTGATTAAAAAAAAACAAAAAACCTTGCAACCTTCCTTTACACATTACCGTAAATGAAGTACAAAATAAGCATTTTAAAGAAATAATTGATGCACTTAGCCTTGGGTATACTCCTCCAGACAAATTTCAACCGACAGACCCACTCTTCGTGATTGTCTCCACTGAAAAATTAACTCAAGTTTTCTATGCTTGAGTATTCCTCTTGAGCTAGCCTAGCCCTAGCGGGAGCAGCCACACACCAAAGTAACACGTAACACTTGAGCTAATTTGTCCACACAGGCACAGCACTCACTCGTGTGGCATTACACTTCTGTCTTCACTAACACAAAGGTGTGCGGGATGGTGAGGTTTTTTTTTTTTTTATTTACAGCTAGATAACAGACAACAGTTATCCCACTGTAAAATCCTAAATACAGACAAAGCACTTATATTGTTTATCTCAAGATACCTTGGATGAGGCCAGTACTATATTCCTGTCTGTAGTTGACGTCACCTAGTTTACTTTTCAATAAAAGTAGTGCCTTATCTCCACCAGGATTTTACAGCAGTATAGCTAACATATTTGTTAGTTATCCTGTGGTAAAAACACACCATTTTTGTCAGTAACGACATAGCCTAAGACTTCTGGGGGCATATCACAGGGTTTTTATTGTTGCAGTTAGCTGAGTTGCTCCATGAATTCTTTCCCAGTGAATTGTGGGAGGACTTTTCTATATTTCCTGGACACCTAGGAGGAATTGTGGAAAAGTGCTGGAGGACTAGCAGCATCTGAAGGGAGATAACAAGACCACTCTCTAGCGTGGACACAAGTTAGCAGCTGATGAGTTGTGCTAACTCAAGCGTTAGCATATACCCCCCAACGGGACAGCCAACAAGGGTTAAAAGCACCACCACATTCAAGTTCAGAGTTTGTGTGGACGTGGGACTCAAGTTAGACACAACACTCAAGTTCTATGTTGAGTTAACTTTGCAGTGAAGACAAGTCCAAAGTGTGTCCACATTCACTCAAGTTAGCCTAGCTCAAGAGACGCAACTTTAAATAACTCAAGTTAAGGTTATGTTTTCACAACAGAGTTAAGTACTCCAATGGAAATAGAGGAAATAGTAAAGGAAGAACTAAAAGGATCAGAATTGACATTAAGGAAAGATGATGAAACATGAAAAATGACCCTACAAGAGCTATAAGCAGCCATCCTTAGAAAACTGCACTCCTAATTAATGCTACTGAGTTTATTTCTAAATAGAAAAAAGGAGAATATTGTGTCCAAGCTGCTGAAGATACCATCCAAGAATACGAAGAGAAATATCCTGAGGAAGTCTTTGCCATTGGCTCTGGCAATAAAAGTAAAATGAAAAAGATGAGTGAATGTCTCAGGTGGATTCATCCTTAGCTTCTGATATATGAGTGTTCACCACAGTATTTGAACTTCATTGAGGAAGAAGGAATACCTAAACAGTTCTAAAATGCATTCAGATGTTCTTCTGTAACCACCATCAGATTCATTTTGGTTGAAAAAAGGGAACTTAATGTTCCCAGTTTCTCCAAGACATTTGGTAGAATTCTCAAAAAGTTTCTCTCTCCACAGCCACATCCAGCGACCATAAATAATGTTGAAATTTGCATATATTATGATAAGGCCTACGAAAAAAAAAAAAAAAAAGCACATTTTTCACATGGCACTAGAATTACAAAAGCAAACTTAGAGGCTTCAGAGGGTATGTCTACACAGCTGCAGAAGTGAGCCTCCCAGTCCAGGTCGACAGACTTGGACTAGTGATCTAAAAGAGCTTTGTAGACAGTGCTTTAAAGTTGTGCCTCAGAAAGGAGCTCTCTATAGGCTCCAAAGCCAAAGTCGCAACTTCAAAGCACTGTCTACACAGCTATTTGTAGAGTGCTAATATGAACCTTGCAAGCCCGAAGATGTTGGGCTGGGGAAGTCTACAGAGCCCATGGAAGTCAGATCTACCAGGACAGACACAATATACACCTCTACCTCGATATAACGCAACCCGATATAACATGAATTCGGATATAACGCAGTAAAGCAGTGCTCCGGGGGGGAGCGGGGGGCTGCGCACTCTGGCGGATCAAAGCAAATTCGATATAACACGGTTACACCTATAACGCGGTAAGATTTTTTGGCTCCCGAGGACAGCGTTATATCGGGGTATAGGTGTATTATAAATCACTGCAGTCTCAGTGAAAACTTGGCCTGATCTAATTAACTAGGAAATGGAACAACACAAGGACCAAATTGAAAATGATTCAGAGAACCTGTTACTGAGCCAAAATAAAAAGGTCAGAGGTCAAGCCAGAAAAAAGAAGGTGAAAAGTTTCTGATGGAATGTAAAAGTTAAAGATCCAGGTTTCTACCACAAGTCTATATTTGTGAAGGAGGATGAGTCACAGCTTTTTGCATCAAAATGGTTGAAATTTTTAGAACTAAAAATCACAGAAAAAATAATTGATTTTAGAACTTTAAAAAAAATAGCAAGGGCTCTGCAGGCCTGTCCACCCAGCTGAGCATCAGTCAAGTGTTTCTTATTGTTCAGTTGGGGGGTTTATTATTATTATTAGTTTTTAATTATTGGTTTGGTCAAATTCTGTAATGGACGTGGTGCTGAAAGAGCAAATAAATTAGTCAAAAGCATATTGGTGCCTAAAAAAGATACAAAAGAGCAGAAAGCCTAATTAGACGAAGGACTCAGTTATCGCATTCTTGTGGTTTACTTACATAACTGCAAGCTTGTTAATTTTTCCAATGTGTGCTCATCTCTCTCTCCTTTCCCCCGCCTTCCTCCTCATTTAAAACTAGTCGCTGCTCACTACACCCCCACCACCATGCCACCTGGCACCATGGTGTACATCTTTATGCCTATCACTCCACACTGAACAACAAGGAGAACAATAGCTACACATACATCAGTACCTGTGAAAACCACCTGGCAGTGTATATGTAGCCACACTGTTGCAGGTTTCAGATACATGGACATAAATATTCCCCTGCCCTACCTCTGTTTTCACTTGGGATTTCAAAGTCACAATGTGGGTAAAAGATTTTTCAACTTCGTATTTGTTTGTTTGCACTTTGACTTTGCTCTCTGCTTCTTTGCCCATAATAAGAACAGGAGTACTTGTGGCACCTTAGAGACTAACAAATTTGCCCATAATGAAGTTCTTTATTAGTTTACACCAGGAATTACAGCCAATAGCAGGAAGCAAAGCCCCACCCATAGTAAGAACACCCAAGAGACTTTATTTAATAACATTAGACAACACCACTATAGCTGACTGTTAAACTGGCCTTTTAAGATCTCCCTCAGCTGCAAAGCTTCACAGTTAGCTGTTCCAATAGCCCTTGCCTCTTGCTGTTCAAATTCAGCAGACAGTCTGTCCATCTCACCCCTTCATCCTGATGGCAGCTTTTACCCCTTTGCCTCACAGATATTATGCATTACACAACATGTAGTTATAACTAGGAGGATATTTTTCCTCTCTGAGATCCAACCTACTGAATAAGCCATGCTAGTGTCCATTCAATCGGTACCAAAAGCATATTCTACAGTCATTCTGCACCTGTTGAGATGGTAGTTGAATCTGTCCTTGATGCTGCCAAGGTGACCAGTGTACAGCTTCATGAGCCAGAGGAGCAAGGGATAGGCTGTATCCCCCCCAGGATCAATATTGGCATTTCAATATCTGCTGTGGTAATCTGTCTGTTGGGGAAAATGTCCCTTCTTGCAGTTTTTTTTTTAAAATCACATGTTCTTAAATATGCAAACATCATGCACCTTCCCTAACCAGTCTAACTTGATATCATTCACTAGCGGTTATCTAACCATGAAAAAATATCCCTCTCTGTTGATATACTTGGTGGCAAAGAGATGTGTGTGCTATCACCCCACCTGAGTTCAGTGGGGTTCCAGAACATGACCCCTTGCTCCTCAAAATCCCCTCGCAAATCACCGGTATCCCACAGAACACCGTGCAAATGATCCACAAGGCAGAGAGCCAGGCGGTGCAGGGCACGCTGGGGTAGTTACCTATCTGTGGGGCACTACATTTTACATCAATGCAAGCATTAGTGGTGAGTACATGCACTAGCGCTGACACACCCGTGCCTGGGCCAATCAAACATGGAAGTGTAGAGGTGGCCAGACGGGGCAGAGAGCAGGTCCCAGCCGGTGCGGCTGGGGAGAGGGTAGACGCCCAGAAGAAGTGCAAAGAGCAGCAGGAATGGGAGAGGGGACGAGAAGCCCCAACACGTCTAATGTCCCAAGCGCCTCCCGGAAGCGATCGGGGGACAAACATCAAGAAGCAGCAACAGGCTTCTTCTCCGGGTCCAGAGCTGGGCTGCCAAGCACACCCGCCCGGCCCGAGGGAAGCAGGAAGCTGAGCCCTGAGCTCTTGCGGCCAGCCCGACACCCCTGCAAGGGGGCCGCGGGGAGAAGGGATCTGCCCGCCCCACTGCCCTCAGCCCCCGGGAGAAGCGAGCAGCGCCCGCCACCCCTTCCCCGCGCCCGCAGCCTCCAGCCCGGCCCCAAGGCAGTGGGGCAGCCCGCTAGTTCACACTCCCGCCTGTGCGCGGCGCCTACTCACGGCTCCAGCCCAGTCGCATCTTCCCGGGCAGCTGGGCTTCTCCGCGGCGCTCCCGCCGGCCCCCTGCACCTGCACCGCCAAGAGCCCGGCCGCGCCCCGGGCTGCGGGGACAGGAGGGAGAGCGCAAACTCGCCGCACCTGGGCGCCCGGGCGGGCACGCCCCGGGGGCGGGCTGAGTCACATGTGGTAATAGCCGGGCGCCCCTGCGGCGCTGGGAGCGGAGCTTTCTGCCCGGCCAGGGACCGGTTTGCAGCCAGGAGACGGCGCTGCCCCGGGGGGAGCGGCCGCTGGGCAATCGCGGTGCCAAAGGCCGCTCGGCCGCCGGCGCACCCTGGGGGGCTGGGCTGTCGGGCGAAGAAGTGATAGGAGCGCTCCCCGCCCCCCCGGCGTGTACATCCGCCCAGCAGCGCTGCCCGCACTCGTCTTCACTGCCAGTGCTTTCGGTTTCAGTCTCAGGAACGCTGCTGTACTTACAATGTACACGACCTTTCCTACGGGAAATGCTCTCTGGTGTGCCCTGGTGGGCTCAACAAGAGATCAAAAGCTTGTCTCGCTCACCCACCCCAGTTGGTCACCCACCTTGTCTCTTGAGCAGATGGTGTAGTTTCTTTTGGTATTCCTCAGTGGGATCAGAGGATAGTGGCCTGTAGAATGTGGTGTTGGAGAGTTGTCTGGTGACAGCCCCCTGTTCATAAGCCGACCTGTTCATGACTACAGCACCGCTGTTGTCAGCCCTTTTGATTATAATGTCAGAGTTGTTCCTGAGGCTGTGGATGGCGTTGCATTCTGTACAGCTGAGGTTATCGGGAAAGTGATGCTGTTTGTTCACCATTTCAGCCTGTGCACGTCTGCGGAAGCACTCTATGTAGAAGTACAGTCTGTCATTTCGACCATCTGGAGAACAGGAGGCTGCGAGACAGCTCTCCAACACCACATTCTACATGCCACTATCCTCCGATCCTACTGAGTACCACCAAAAGAAACTATACCATCTGCTCAAGAAACTCCCTGCTACAGCATGGGAACAAATCTGCACAGACACACCCCTAGAGCCCCGACCAGGTGTATTCTATCTGCTACCCAAGATCCAAAAACCTGGAAATCCTGGACGCCCCATCATCTCAGGCATTGGCACTCTTACAGCAGGATTATCTGGCTATTTGGACTCTCTCCTCAGACCCTACGCTACCAGCACTCCTAGTTATCTGCGAGACAACACTGACTTCCTGAGGAAACTAAAATGCACTGGTGATCTTCCTGAAAACACCATCCTGGCCACCATGGATGTCGAAGCTCTTTACACCAATATTCCACACGAGGATGGACTACAAGCTGTCAGGAAGAGTATCCCTGATGAAGCCATGGCAGACCTGGTGGCTGAGCTTTGTGACTTAGTCCTCACCCACAACCATTTCAGATTTGGGAACAACTTATACCTTCAAGTCAGTGGCACTGCTATGGGTACCCGTATGGCCCCACAGTATGCCCACATTTTTATGGCTGACTTAAGAACAGCGCTTCCTCAGCTCTCGTCCCCTAGCGTCCCTCCTCTATTTCCGCTACATTGTTGACATCTTCATCATATGGACCCACAGGAAGGAGGCTCTTGAAGAATTTCACCTGGATTTCAACAATTTACACCCTACCATCAACCTCAGCCTGGACCAGTCCACACGAGATCCACTTCCTGGACACTATAGTGCAAATAAATGATGGTCACATAAACACCACCCTATATGGGAAATCTACTGATGGCTATACTTACCTACATGCCTCCAGCTTCCATCCAGGATACATCACATGATCCATTGTCTACAGCCAAGCCTTAAGATACAACCTACAAGATCTCTATCAAGTATTCTTAAAACTACAATACCCACCTGGGGAAATGAGGAAACAGATTGATAGAGTGAGATGGGTACCCAGAAGTCACCTACTAAAGGACAGGCCCAACAAGGAAAACAACAGAACAGCCCCGGCCATCACGTACAGCCCCCAGCTAAAACCTCTCCAGCGCATCATCAACGATCTACAACCTATCCTGGAAAACGATCCCCCACTCTCACAGGCCTTGGAAGGCAGGCTAATCATCACTTACAGACAGCCCCCCAACCTGAAGCAAATACTCACCAGCAACTACACACCACACCACAGAAACACTAATCCAGGAACCAATCCCTGTAACAAACCCCAATGCCTTCTCTGTCCCCATATCTACTCTAGAAACACCATCATAGGACCCAACCACACCAGCCACACCATCAGGGGCTCATTCACCTGCACATCTACTAATGTGATATGTGCCAGCAATGCCCCTCTGCCATGTACATTGGCCAAACTGGACAGTCTCTACATAAAAGGATAAATGGACACAAATCAGACATCAGGAATGGTAACATACAAAAGCCAGTAGGAGAACACTTCAATCTCCCTGGACACTCAATTACACATTTAAAAGTAGCCATTCTTCAACAACAAAAAACTTCAAAAACAGACTTCAAAGAGAAACTGCTGAGCTACAATTCATTTGCAAACTTAACACCATCAATTTGGGCTTGAATAGGGACTGGGAGTGGCTGGCTCACTACAAACGCAATTTTCCCTCTCTTGATGACACCTCCTCATCAATTATTGGGAGTGGACCACATCCACCCTGACTGAATTGGCCTTCAACATTGGTTCTCCACTTGTAAGGTAACTCCCTTCTCTTCATGTGCCAATATATATTTATGCCCATATTTGTAATTTTCACTCCATGCATCTGAAGAAGTGGGTTTTTTACCCACGAAAGGTTATGCCCAAATAAATCTGTTAGTCTTTAAGGTGCCCTTCACAAGAAGTTTAAGTACCCAGATCACCTCTCTAGAGAGTTCAGGTAGTAAAACGTCTCCTTGATTTTGTTTCCTGAACTTGTTTTACCTCATTGCATGGCATAGATTACATAACACATTGAATCATGACTACACCGCTCAAGTGAAAAGCAAACAGGATATGCAAAAAACCCAAAACCAACCAACCAAAAACCCCAGGACAGAAAACACCAGCATCTTTTGTCCCCCCTATTTAAAAGAGGCTTTATACCTAATTTTCACAAATGTGAAGGTCTATACCCATAATGATTCTGGAAGGGCTTGACAATAAATATTTAAATAAATCAATTAATCCAGAGGGGGAAAAACAATAGGGGTGATAGTATTTGAGGAACAGTTAGCCAAAGACTCAAAAAGTAATAGCTTTTTTTTTTTAAGTACATCAGAAGCAGGAAGCCTGCTAAACTACCAGTGGGGCTACTGGATGACCGAGGTGCTAAAGGAGCACTCAAGGATCATAAGGCCATTGCGGAGAAACTAAATGAATTCTTTGCAGTGGTCTTCACGGCTGAGGATGTGAGGGAGATTCCCAAACCTGAGCCATTCTTTTTAGGTGACCGATCTGAGGAACTGTCACAGATTGAGGTATCATTAGAGGAGGTTTTGGAACAAATTGATAAATTAAACAGCAATAAGTCACCAGGGCCAGATGGTATTCACCCAAGAGTTCTGAAGGAATTCAAATGTGAAATTGCAGAACTACTAGCTGTAGTCTGTAACCTATCTTTTAAATCAGCTTCTGTACCAGATGACTGGAGGATAGCTAATGTGATGCAAATCTTTAAAAAAGGCTCCAGAGGTGATCCCAGCAATTACAGGCCTGTAAGCCTGACTTCAGTACCGGGCAAACTGGTTGAAACTATAATAAAGAACAATATTGTCAGACATATAGATGAACATAATTTGTTGAGGAAGAGTCAACGTTGTTTTAGTAACGGGAAATCATGCTTCACCAATCTACTAGAATTCTTTGAGGGGGGTCAACAAGCATGTGGACCAAGGGGATCCAGTGGATATAGTGTACACCTCTACCTTGATAGAATGCTGTCCTTGGGAGCCAAAAAAATCTTACCACATTATAGGTGAAACCGCGTTATATTGAACTTGCTTTGATCCACCGGAGTGTGCAGGGCCCCCCCCCCGGAGCACTGCTTTACCGCTTTATATCCAAATTCGTGTTATATCGGGTCGCGTTATATCGGGGTAGAGGTGTACTTAGATTTTCAGAAAGACTTTGACAAGGTCCCTCACCAAAGGCTCTTATGCAAAGTAAGCTGCCACTGGATAAGCGGGAAGTTCCTCTCATGGATCGGTAACTGGTTAAAAAAGATAGGAAACAAAGCGTAGGTATAAATGCTCAGTTTTCAGAATGGAGAGAGGTAAATAGTGGTGTCCCCCAGGGGGTCTGTTCTGGGATCAATCCTATTCAACATATTCATAAATGATCTGGAAAAAGGGGTAAACAGTGAGGTGGCAAAATTTGCAGATGATACAAAATTACCAAACATAGTTAAGATCCAGGCAGACTTCAAAGCGGTACAAAAGAATCTCTCAAAACTGGGTGACTGGGCAACAAAATGGCAGATGAAATTTAATGTTGATAAATGCAAAGTAATGCATATTGGAAAGCATAATCCCAACTATACATATAAAATGATGAGGTCTAAATTAGCTGTTACCACTCAAGAAAGGAAACTTGGACTCATTGTGGATAGTACTCTGAAAACATCCACTCAATATGCAGCGGCAGTCAAAAAAGCAAACAGAATGCTGGGAATAATTAAGAAAGGGATAGATAATAGGACAGAAAATATATTGCCTCTATGTAAATCCATGATACGCCCACATCTTGAATACTGTGTGCAGATGTGATCGCCCCCCCTCAAAAGAGATATATTGGAATTGGAAAAAGTTTAGAAAAGGTCAACAAAAATGTTTAGGGGTATGGGACAGCTTCCATATGAGGAGAGATTAATAAAACTGGGACTTTTCAGCTTGGAAAAGAGACGGCTAAGGGGAGATATGATTGAGGTCTATAAAATCATGACTGGTATAGAGAAAGTAGATAAGGAAGTGTTTACTTCTCATAAAACAAGAATTAGGGGTCACCAAATGAAATTAATAGGCAGCAGGTTTAAAACAAACAAAA